ACCTCGGCGTTGTCGAAGTTCGCCATCCTGTTCAAAACACGCACGGAGGGGGTAATTCGAAAATCGCGGAGCTGGTGCTTACCAGAATCGGCGTCGAATTGGTCGCCCCCGGCGGTTTTTCGAGGCAGGATCCCCGCTGCTGCTGCTTAGCTGAGCGCGGTCGAGTGAAAAAGCTCTGATACCAAGTGTCACAGGATCGAATGTGTCAAGGAAAGGTTGCACTAACGATCAGTACAAGGCGCTTTTATACTTCCAAAGTACATCAGGTAACCACGTTTATCTTATCCTAAGGGAATAGACCCTTCTAGAAGATAGAATCACTCTGCGTATAGCCACGCGAAGCTATTGGCTTTAAGGGATTACGGCAGGATGACGCTAGATATAGCGCACCAGTACATCCCAAGCCTGGTCGGTGATATAACTATAATAGCAGGATAAACCAAAGGTGAATGGAAAATGGAGAAGAGGAAACCAAATGAGATGAGATAAAAAGAGAAATGAAAATAGGAAAAAGGGACAAGTGGTGTAACGGGGTCGTACTCTCACAGTGGGGGAGACACCGGCGCGCGATCCGGGGAGGGAAGGCCGAGCAGGCAGAGAGCAGAGACCAGCGGCAACGGCTGTTGCGGCGGCGACGACGGCTGCTGCGGCGACGACGACGGCTGGGCAAGAACTCTCGGACCAGCAGAGGCAGAACGACTGTCGGCAGAACACTCAACAGCAGCACCCCCAGAACCAACAACCCCAGAGAGAGAACCCCCTCCAACACCAGCGGCACCCCCAGAAGCCGCAGGACGAACACCCTCCTCGACACCAGCACCCCCAGGGGCCAAGAGCGGCGGCGGCAGTGGCGGCGACGGCAGCGGCGGCGGCGACAGCGGCGACGGCTGCGGCAGCGACGGCGGCGGCGGCGGCAGCGGGGTCGGCGACTGCGACAGTGGGGGCGGAGGCACCGGGGAAGGGGGACGTGGCAAGGACGGACTGGGGGTACCACCAGAGTCAGCAGACTCCTCAACAGGGACAACCGACGGGAGGGGAGTGACGTAAGAGACACCAGACGGGGCAGGACGAGGCGGGAGAGGGGCAGGGGCTACCGGGGGAGAGGGAGCAAGGAACAGGGGGGGGGCAACTGGGAGACCTCGGTGAGGGAAGCGGTGGTAGAAGGAGACGGACTCGTCAAAGGTGACGTCACGAGAGTGGACGAAGCGGTGAGATGGCGGGTGGTAGAAAAGCCAGTCAGACGAGTCCAGGGGGAAACCGAGGAAGACACAGGGGACAGTGCGGGCAGTGAGCTTGTCCGTGCCAGAGGCACGAACATGAGCAAGGCAGCCCCAGACGTGGAACGCAGACGCGTCACTGGGGGACCCGGTCCAAAGAAGGGTCGGCGAGACCTGCGGCCGCTGGGAGCATGGCCACAAGTTAAGCTGGTGAGCAGCGTAGCGAACAGCGAACGGCCACAGAAAATGGGGGGCATCGGCATGGATCATGGAGGTACGGTCGACCTCCATGACCAAGCCGATGTGGCGCTCAGCAACCTCATTCTGCTGTGGCGAGTCCGGCAAGGTGTACAAGTGGGTGATGCCCTCCGCACGATAGAACTGTCCAAGCCAACCAGAGGCGAACTCGCCGCCACGATCAGAGTGGAGACACAACACGGGGAGACCGCGGTGGAGACGCGCAGCCACAACCCACGGGAGAAGAACATCGGGCACGTCGGCCTTCCACTCCAGGGGAAACACCGTGCTGTAGCGCGTGTAGTCGTCGACGAGCACAAGGAAGTAGCGCTCACCGCGCGGTCCGGGGACGGGGGCAGGGCCCCAAACGTCCAGGTGCAGGGTCTGAAGGGGAGCAGTAGCAGGGCGCAGCGAGGAGGAGTGAGGAGCACGGCGGAGCCGACCCTCGACGCAAGGCGTGCACGGTGGCGCAATCGAGGGAGGAAGGGCAGGGAGCGACGCGGGGAGACCTAAGACAAGACCGTGCTGCGACATGTGACGCAGACGCGGGAGAGCAGGGTGACCTAAGCGGTGGTGCCAGAGAAGGGACGCATGAGTGAGGGACCGACACGAGCAAGCTGCAGCGACCTGGGAGGATGGACCAACCGGGGGGGAAGCGGTGTCTAGGGTAAACAAACCGGACACCGGGTCCTGGAGACAGCCGACACCAACCAGGTTCCTGGAGAACGAGGGAACGTGGAGGCCAGTAAGGGAGCCCGAGGGAACTGCCGGACAGGGAAGGGACGTAGAACTGCGCGCGACGACAGGACCCGCAGAGGGGTCAGCGAGAGAGACAACAGCAGGTGCAGCAAGCGGCGTGAGCGTGGAACGGTCGCGGAAGAAGCAGGCAGAAGCACCAGAGTCGAGAGTGAAGGACAGCGACGCAGTGGCGGAGGCCGGGGACGGAGCCGGTGCAGCGACTAGACTAGGCAACCTAGGCTGTCCTACGCCTGACGCAGCAGGGGAGACTAAGCTAGACAGGGGTGCAACACCTATACTAGAGTACACAGGGTAATAAGATCCAGCAACACTAGAAGCGTCAGAATACAAAGCATGCAAAGCAGCACCTATCTGATCCATGTCTAAATCAAAGATCGGCACGCCCTGGCGGAGCAGGCTGTGCCAGTCGGGGAGATCCGGGGCCGGGCCAAAGCGACGACGAAAGAGATCGTCGAGGCGGCAGAAACATCGGGCGGTCGGGTGCGGGCGGCGGCACAGAGTGCCGCGAAGAGGCCCGGTCTGAAGCTGGTACTGGCACGTGACAGCACCGGAGCCGCCGGTAGACGCCAAGCTGTGCGGGCCGCCACTACGGCCACTACCTCCGGAGGTGCCGAGCAAGCCAGGCGGGAGACGGGCCCACTGCTGCGGCGACTGCTGCTGGGACGGTGACTGCTGCTGGGGCGGCGGCTGCGGCTGGGGTTGCTGCTCCTGCCCACCAGTGGTAGTCCCCGTAGGCGGACTACCGTCACCACCACTACCGCCACCACCACCACCTGCGCCACCACCCCTACCTCCCTGGCGACCACGGCCACCGCGGCGCGAGCGCTGCTGCGGGTGGACCGCAGCAGCCGTCTCGGTGAGAGGGGTCGCCGAGGCGACCGCAGCCGAAACGTCAGTGAACGTACACTGGGAGGGGGCACAACCGTGAAAGATAGAAACTGTCGGCGCACCGCTCGACTGAGCGATAGTGCGCTGGCGAGTCTCGATCTCTATGAGGGTATCAACAAAGGCAGTGAGGGTGAGGTCACCCGGGTGCTGGCTAGGGAAGTGATCGCGAGCACTAGCGAGGCGGTCTGGCAGGCGCATGGCGATAAAATAGAGCGTCATGCAGAAAGGGGGGGGGGGCGCAGTGAGCTGGGCAGCAGTGCTGCCAGTGCGATAGCAGGTCTCTAGGGCACGCAAGTGAGTGGCAAAGTCTACGACGGTAGGGAAAGCTGCAAGGTCTGGGAAAAGCATAGGGAAGAGCAGGCGACCAGCAGAAGCAGACGCGGGTGTGGAATAGCGAGCAATAACAGCATCTAAGTAAGCTTTGGCAGTCTCAATAGTAGCAAAACGCGAGCGCTCAGAGACAGGGAGGGCGTGGCTAATGGCAACCTGAGCGACTGCATCGCGGGAGTCCCAGACCGCACGGGCAAGCGCAGCAGTAGAAAAGGTCTCACGGTCATCAGAGGAGGGATCAGCAGGGAGGGGAGCAAGTGCGGGGGGGCGGGGGAGCAAGCCGTCGACATGGACAACCAAAGAGTGGCCATCCTGGCGCTGACCTGTAAGGTGGCGGCGGAGATTGGAGAGCCAGGCGGCGAAGTCAACCGCATGGCCCTCGGTGTCCAGTCGGAGCACGAAGTCCGCCATCGTGCAGGGTCAGCGGCACAGCTCCACAGGAACACAGCGACGCAGGAACACAGCGACAGCCCCCTCCAGCACGGCGGCCACGAAGCGCCTCAGCACGGGCGAGCAGAGGAGACGAAGCCCGAGGCGGCACGGCAGGACGAGCCGGGGCGTAGGGGCCAGGCAAGTGCTGTGGGGCCAGGCAGGTGCTGGCGGGGCCAGGCAGGCGCGACAGGGCCAGGCAGGCGCGGCGGAGCCAGGCAGGCGCGGCGGGGCCAGGCAGGCGCGGGCGCGGCGAGGCCAGGGAGGCGCGGCGGGGCCAGGCAGGCGCAGCGGGGCCAGACAGGCGCGGCAGGGCCAGGCAGGCGCTGCGGGGCCAGGCAGGCGTGGCGGGGCCAGGCAGGCGCGGCGAGGCCAGGGAGGCACGGCGGGGCCAGGCAGGCGCGGCGGGGACAGGCAGGTGCGGCGGGGCCAGGCAGGCGCGACGGGGCCAGGCAGGGCGCGACGGGGCCAAGCAGGGCGCGACGGGGCCAGGCAGGTGCGGGGGGGCCAGGCAGGCGCGGCAGGGCTAGGGAGGCGCGGCGGGGCCAGGCAGGCGCGACGGGGCCAGGCAGGGCGCGCGGGGCTAGGCAGGGCGCGACGGGGCCAGGCGGGCGCGACGGAGCCAGGCAGGGCGCGACGGGGCCGAGCGGGCATGACGAGGCCAGGCAGGGCGCGACTGGGCCAGGCAGGGCGCGACGGGGCCCAGGAGGGGCGCGACAGGGCTAGGGGGCGCGATGGGGCCCAGGAAGGGCGCGGGTACGGGCGGAAGCGGTAGGTGGGGGATGCTAACCTACGCGTGATACCATGTCAAAGTGAGAACGAAATAATGACTAGAAGTGGAAACCTAGAACAAATACTAGTTGGTTGTACTCACTAGAAGCATACCTCAGTCTAGCCTATAACTTCTACATAGATAATATGTATAAGTTGACAAATATAACCTAGTGGGTTGTACTCTCTAAGGCACAACCCTATGTTTTCTATAACAACATGCAAGGATATGTTTGACACGCCATTCCATGGCGCCTCTTCCTACCTAGCTAGTTTTTGACACTGATATCATACATAACTCAGAAAGGGACGGGTGTTAAACCATGTTTTCCTGCATTCTCTGCTGCTGCTGCTGCTGAGGTGCTTCAGAAAAGGTAGTCTACTTTATAGTGGAAGCATAGCACATATCATGATGAATCGCATCACAGAGGGGCACTGGAGACGTAGCAGAGTGCTGGTCAATCCCCAGAAACCTTTATACCCAACTGTCACCCTCTTTTACCTATACACATGCTGTGATAGGAAGCGGACCCCTTGTATGCACGTCTCAATCTACCAAAAGGACTAGTTGTCTCAACCTACTGGAAAAAGCACCCACCCTCACTTAGAGACAGCAGCCCCCACATCAGCCCACCAGAAAAAGGCACCATTCGCCCCTTCCAAGGCCCGACCCCCCATGCACAAACCCCACATCCGGAAACTGAGATAGCAGCCAAGGAAAAAGAAGCCGCCTCATGAAAGAGAAAACGTGTTAGTAGTACCTTGATACTGGGACCTGCGACCCCACACCAAGTGACTTACTCAAAGTACAGCACCCCACCCCACTCTCACCCCCACCCCACCCCCACCCTCACCCCCACCCCCACCTCAGCTGTGCACCATCCCCCACACCGTTTTCACCCTGCACACACATACACGAAGTGCATCCTTGCCCCTATGGTTATCACCATGCAACATCATCCATCACCGTGCATCACCCCGCATCAGCATGTGGCCATCACTGCCAGCATCTGAGCACGGCAATGCCTCCATGCCCCGGTTCACATGCACACACTCGTGACGGCAGCATGGGGGCCAATGATGATGCTGCTGCTGCTGATGCTGATGATGCTGATGATGCTGATGAGGTCACAGATTCCAAGGGAACTTCCATCCCTGCTTCTCTAGACTCTGCTGCTACCCCTGCTGCTGCTGGTGCCGAACCCTCCTGCTGCTGTTGCTCGTTTGGCTGCTGCTGCTGCTGCCGCCCATCCGTCACAGCAGCAATGACCGCACCAGGCGTTTGAGCGGACACAGCAATGCCAGCACCGAGGAACGCGGCAACGGCGGCAGCAGACGAGCGCGAGATCGGGCCTGAGAGCGCGAGGCGGTGTGGCGCGTGGAAGAGCGCGCCCCGGCGGAAGAAGCCCCCCCCGAGCGGGCACATGGCGGTGCGCTGCATGGGGCGGCACGTGCCCGTGAACGGGTGCGCGGGGGAGCGGCGCACGTGGTGCGACGCCACGCAGGCGAGGGGGGTGAGCCCGGGGAGGGGGAGGATGTGCGGACACACGGCCTGGGGAGAAAGGGAGAGGGGGGGGAAGAGGAGAGAGGGGGATGGGAGGGTAGCGAGAGGAGATGCACGAGAGCATGAAAAATCTGGGGTGGTGGGTATAATGCGCAAATTCTTCACTCGACTGTCTCTCTCCTGCACTGAAGGCAAGCACCTCACAACCAGACCTCCCTAGTGCCTACCGGCTCATGGCCGCTGAACGAGCACGGCGCGCCGCGCAGCACATACGCGTCCGCCACGTATGGCCCCACCGGCGCGGGCTTCACCATGCGCCGCTTCAGATCGCACTGCACCGCACCGCCGCCCGCGCCACCCCCTCCGTTTCCGCCTCCGCTTCCGCCTCCGCTTCCACCTTCGCCCGCGCTGACGAGCGGGCCGCCGTTGAGGAGCGCGGCGAGCTGGTGCTGGAGATCGACGGCGAATCCCACGCAGTCGCGCACGGCGATGCAGTGACGCGCGCAGCCCTCCACGCCCGTGGGTGACTGTACCGAGATGATTGTGCCGGCGGGGTACGCCGTGTTAGGGGACTTGAAGAACAGCGAGACGGCGTCTGTTGGGGGGTGGGGAGGTGTTGGGAGGTGTGGGGGAAAAGGGGTGATGGGGGAGGGGGGAATATGAGAGGGGGTGGGGTTGCGGGGACGGGAGAGGGAACGGGAGAGGATAACCGCGTGGTCAGAGGTTGTTCTAGGGTGCTTTGCTTTTCTTCCTCAGTGTGCAACCATTGCAACCATCATCGACCGCTTTTCTATGTACAGAAATAGGCCAGTGTGTGAGTTGAGGTAGGTGGCTCGGAGCGGGTAACGCAGAAACCAGAAACCAGAAGCATGAGGCGCAGAAACCAGGAACCAGGAGGACGCAACGCAGCGCGACGCAACGCAGCGCAACGCAACGCAGCGCAACGCAACGCAGCGCAACGCAACGCAGCGCAACGCAACGCAGCGCAACGCAACGCAGCGCAACGCAGCGCAACGCAACGCAGCGCAACGCAACGCAGCGCAACGCAACGCAACGCCGCGCAACGCAGCGCAACGCAACGCAACGCAACGCAACGCAGCGCAACGCAACGCAGCGCAACACAACGCAGCGCAACGCAACGCAGCGCAACGCAGCGCAATGCAACGCAGCGCAACGCAACGCAGCGCAACGCAACGCAACGCAGCGCAACGCAGCGCAATGCAGCGCAACGCAACGCAGCGCAACGCAGCGCAACGCAACGCAGCGCAACGCAACGCAGCGCAACGCAGCGCAATGCAACGCAGCGCAACGCAGCGCAATGCAACGCAGCGCAACGCAGCGCAACGCAACGCAACGCAGCGCAACGCAGTGCAACGCAGCGCAACGCAAGGCAACGCAACGCACCCTGCTTGACGAGGCGCACGTTGTCCACCACCGGGCCGCACTCCCCGGGCGACAGCGACCGAAACACCACGCGCGTGGGGCCCACCTGCGCCTCGAACGCCACGCGCTCCACGCGCCAGCTCATCGCGCCGCCCGCCGTTCCGAGCGCGTCGGCCTCCAGCGTGCGCTCCGCGATCACGTCCGTGTTCGCCGCCACCACCGACACGTTCAGCGCGTGCAGGTCGTTGATGCCGCCTGGCGCACGGGACGAGCGGGGGGACGAGGGGGGGGACGAGGGGGAGAGGGGGAGAGGGGGAGAAGGGGGAAGTGTGGGGAGGGCGGGGAGAAGGGCGAAGTGTGTCAATTGACACGTCGAGTGCGTCGTGCAGGTCGTTGATGCTGCCTGGCGCGGTGAGGGGCGTGTGGTTTTCAATTGGGGGGAAAGGGGGTGGAGGGGCAGAGATGGGCGAGAGGAAGTGGGTAGAACCGAGACCGCCGTGAAAGCGAAGCAGAGAGAGTGAAAGAGAGAGAGCAGTGCGCAAGGGAGAACCGCGGCGCATGGGAGTGCGCCGCGCGCATAGAGCATCGCGCGCATGGGAGAGCATCGCGCGCATGGGAGAGCATCGCGCGCATGGGAGAGCATCGCGCATGGAAGAGCATCGTACAAGGGTCAGCGGAGAGCGCGAACGTGAGCACGTAGAGCGCATCCTCCTCCGTCGTCACGACCTGACTCAGCACGCCGGGCCCCGCGCCGTTCAGCGCCACGCTGTAGGCCCCCTCCGCGGCTCGCCACGTGTCGCTGCGCACGTACTTAATAGACCCCTCTTTAACCTCCCATCCTTCCAGTGCGGGAGCCGGCTGGTCCGCGCCGCCCTCCGCGGAGATTATCGGCGCGCTGATGTCTTTAGAGCCCGGCGACTCGAAATTGCCATTGTGAATGAAGTTGCGGGGTATTGCAGCCGCTGATTCGGAGGGAGGAGATGGGCCATAGATAAGACGAGGTAAGAGAGTGGAGGAAGGCAAAGGCAGGGACTCATAAAAGGAAACAAAGGGAATGCCAGAATGGTGAAGGGATGAAGAGCAGCGAGACCTTCGGGAAAAGAACGAGAGGGGGAGGAGGGAGGGGGGGTGAAGGGAGAGAACAGGTTAGTCTGATTGTAGTTGAAATGACTGGATATGGAAGACATGGCTGTGAGAGGTGATCCATGACCTGGCAGATGAGATGTCTACCTCTCGAGTGGACGGGCGATGCTACGAGTGACGCGACGACGAGAAGCAGCGCAGCAGATGCTCGGAACATGGCGGCGAGAGACAGCGCCAGAGAGAGAGAGGGAGAGAGGAGAGGGGGGGAGGAATCAAGTCCGCAAGTAGCTTAAGTCAAAGTCCGTAGTGTGCCGAAGCTGCTCAGCGAATCCGCGATTGCGCTGCGCTGGTAACGGCCGTCGCGCAACTCGATTCGATTCGACTCGACTCAGCTCAGCGCCGCCCTCATAGCCTGCTACACCGCCACGGGCGCGCGGGAGTCGTTTCCGACGCTACGCTGGGACTGGCTCCTGTCTATAGTTGCGCGCGGCGCTGGCTTATGTTTCGTGCGGCTCCTGCCTCTACTGTGAGGAGGAGTGCAGCGTGGCAGTGGCTTCAGCCCTTCCGCCCGCGCAATCCCTCTCGAGCTAGAGCGTTACGCCCACGGGTGCGGTAGCTCGTGGCTCGTGGGGAGTGGCTAGTTTTGCCGGAAGGAGGTTCTATACAAGTAAGATGGTGACAGAGAAGGCACGCGTGCATGCGGCGGTATCGGAACTAACAGCCTTCAGCAGCGAGGTTGCTGCCGTTCCGTGCTTCGTGCCTATTAGTATCGACGTTGTTTGAGGTTGGCTGACAATCGACTGGGTTCGGTTAACGAAGGCTACGGAAGGCTACCTTCCCCCAGGATCGACCTAAGACTGCTCTGCTAAGTCTGTTCTGTTGCCGCGAGTTAGACAAGGGCCACGCTCAAACATAGGGCCAGAACAGGGAAATTTTCTAGACGATTGCCGTAGGCTACTTGGGCTGAGCTCCTTTTGCTTCGAGGTCCTTCCCTGCTACTCGTGTTGTGTCGAGTCGACCGAAGGAGTAATCGATGACGGGAAGCGATGGGCGACGGAGATTGGCGGGGGGAGGGGCTGAACTGTGCGGCGAGGAATCAGGGAGCGATGCCGTCGCATCGCATACCTAGCATGACGAAAAAATGCTGGGGCGAAAAATGCTGGTGAGCGTTCCGTGGAGTGGGATACGGGCGATGAAGCACCAAACTCCTTGTGCTAGCGGGTATGCCGTGTAGGGCACGCGGTTTGCAGGTGGGGTGTGCTGCGCAAGTGCGTTGCGTTGAGGGGCAAGCAAGCAAGTACAGCCGTAGGCACCAGACAGGGAATGAGAGTCACCGCCGCCATGAGATGCGATGAGAGATGGAACGGAAGCGCAGATTGACAAAATGCCTCCGTGCGATGCGGCGGTCGTGTTCTTGCTCGGGCATGTCCGTGAGACACGCCGTCAGCCGTCACTACGTTCGAGACGCAAACCTCGTTTGGCTCGGTCGATCGAGCGAAAGGCCAGGGCTGGTATTTACTGTGTAAGCATGGTGGTTTGGCAAGAGGCTCGGATATCATTTGTGGCACTTCGGGTTCCAGGTTGACTGTCCACCTGGGTGATGGGCTTGTGTGAGGGCTGACGTGCGAAGGAGGTTTGGTCAGCCTCGAATACGTGCTCATACCCAACCAGACGAAAAGTTGTTGGTTCGGTAGAGCTGTGCAGGGCAAATGACCAGGATGATGATTAGTGGTCTGGGAGGTTCGAGAATCATGGGCGCCTTGGGAGCCACGTGCTGGTTTGGTTGGTGCTGGCTTGATATGGAGAGGATGATGCGACCTCACATGAACACAGATGGGACAGGTATGGAGATAGTCCGAGTCGCGAGTTTGCGCCGGAAAACACGTGAACGAGGGGCCGAGCCGAGCAGTCAGGCGTAATCGACAGGTTCGGCGACGGCCTGCAAAACCATACATGTTCGAGGCATAAGAAAGGTCAACTGGGCAAACACAGCCGTGTACAAAAACGCGTATGGGTAACAGTGAACCACATATGACAGGATTGTGAATATACAGAAACACATCAACAACAATATAAATGAGGATCAATGATTTCTCCCACAATAATCGAAAAAATCCACGATTTTAAATAAATATCGTGTCATATAAATTAATGCAAATAGTTTTCCATTTTCTAGCTAGTGTAGATTGGGGGCGCATCAAACATTAGCACCCATAAATGAGTTGAGGAAGCCGTATTTGTGGCACTGAATAACAGGGTCCTAATAAAAAAAAAATAAAAAAAAAAAAAACAAACAAACAAACAAACAAACAAAAAAAAACAAAAAAAAAAAACAAAACAAAACAAAAATCCTGATTGTCTGATTTTCAGAGTGCGTTCTCTGATTTTTTAGACAACCTTCCTGAAAAACTATGATTGCCGTAGACAAAGTTTCACGATTTCTCTGAAATTTTCATACAATGTGTATTAGCTTCTCTATTTTACAGACAAGTGTTTTGAGTTTCTCTGAATCAGAGACATACAGGTGCATGCGTGTACTCCCCCGAATATCCCATGTTTTACGCTGCCACACGTCATTCGTGGCAGACCACTCTGCGTACAGCAGAGGCAACTTATGACGCACGTACAGCAGCAGTGGCGGGGCACTTAGCACAATTGATGCCAAGTTGATCACCCACAGCCCTCTGCGGCGGATGACACAACAGCTAGTGGTGCAGAAGCCCGCCCCATGCGCATATCGACGTCATCGTCCCACGTATGAGCAACAACTCAGCTCTTCTCCACCGCACCTGGACTATGCTACCCTCCCACACATGTGCCCAAGGCTCTGCAGTGCATGCATTGTATTCCTCAGGCTTCCCTTCCTCCTGTTTCTTGCAGCCCCACCACTCATGGTCCTTGGTGGCAAGAACCAAGACTTTCTTCATTAGAGTCTCTTCCTGTTTGCATGTCGTGACTAGTCTCAGTTTTCCCCTCACACAGTTTCTCAATCATGGGTGAGGACGACGCTGAGCCCGACGGCGACGATAGGCCTGTCGAGTCGAACCGTAACCCCCCTCCCATGCGAGGCTTAGATTTCTTGTGTGGTCATGTGCTTAGAGCTCAGGCTGGGCCGTCACGCCCTAGTGCCGCTTCTTCTGCGGTTCCGTCGCATATAGTTCCCAAGCCATCGCTTGTCGTCCCCGAGCCATCGCCTGTCGTCCCCAAGCCATCGTCTATCGTTCCCAAGCCATCGCCATGGCCCATGCCACTCGCCTCCCCCCCAGAGTCTCCGATTCACTCATACACGCCTTCCTAACCGCCACCGGCCGAGTCTCCCTCCAAGGTCACTGCCGTCCCCCTTGAGACTCAGCGCAGCTCTGCCTTGGGAAAGAGGAAGTACCGCCAGGCATCGTTGCCAAGGTGGAAGAAACCTCCGCCCAGTGCCCCGTCGGCGGCACATCGAGCTACGCCGTGTGTCGCTCCCCGTGCTATGCCTACCCTCGCTTCCGCCGAAGAGCCGCCCGAAGAGGACGATGATGCAGAGGACGACGAGGAGGCCTCCGAAGCCGCTGAGCCGCTCACTGTTGCCGCGGCAAGATGGACAGAGTTAAAGCATAAGTATGACACCGTGTGGGTGAAGAAGTTCCTGTGGCTCATCCTTACCGAGACCGACGCCGGCCGGCTTTCAATCAAGTGCAGTACCTGCATCGCACACCGGACGGAGACCTACAAGTACTACAAGGGCTGACAAGGTGGTGTCGACGTTCAAGTTCAGTCTATGCGGAAAGAAGCAGAAAGAAGCATCAGGCTGCTGTGGAAAAGAAGGTGGTGAAAGAAAAGGCAGAGAAGAAGCAGAAACGCCTCGAGGAATCGAATGGCGACGTCGAAGGGAGGCCCCTCATCCACCTGTTGATGGCCATGCTGTTTATCTGCAGGACTGAAGCACCTATACTGATGTTTGTCGCGCTTGTGAATTTCATGGCATCTCAGGGAACACCAGACCTTGGCGAACCTACCTATGGGTTATACTTCACAGTGTGAGTGAGTGTTTGAAAACATGAAGCTCGACTAAAGATTCCTTAATCTGAGCATTGAACTATCTCTTTGATTTTGTGCAGGTACGGATTTTGCGAGCTAACCGATGCGACAACGACCTTTCTTCGACAGAAGCAGTTAGAGCACATCAACAAGAGTCCCTTCATCCGCATCAACAAGAGTCCCTTAATCAGAATAAGAGTCCCTTCACCAGCGCACAAAGAAGCATCAGGCTGCTGTGGAGAAGAAGGTGGTGAAAGAAAAGGCAGAGACGAGGCAGAAACGCCTCGAGGACTCAAAGGGCGACGTCGAAGGGAGGCCCCTCATCTGCCTGTTGATGGCCATGCTGTTTATCTGCAGGACTGAAGCACCTATACTGATGTTTGTCGCGCTTGTGAATTTCACGGCATCACAGGGAACACCAGACCTTGGCGAGCCCACCTATGGTTTATACTTCACAATCTGAGTGAGTGTTTGAAAACATGAAGCTCGACTAAAGATTCCTTAATCTGAGCATTGAACTATCCCTCTTTTTTTTTGCATGTACGGATTTTGCAAGCTAACCGATACAACAGCGACCTTTCTTCGACAGAAGCAGCTAGAGCACATCAACAAGAGTCCCTTCATTGGCATAAGCGTCAATGAGAGTACCGACCGACGGGGAGGGAAGCATCTTATTGTTTACGTCACCTTTGTGAAGAAGGGGAGAGTCGTGACTGAGTTTTTCGCGTTACTGACTGTTCACAAGTGTGATGTGGCGTCCCTGTTAGCTGTCTTGCAAACCCATTTCGAATCAACAGGAGTCGACATGTCCAATATATCGAGTATCAGCACGGACGGGGCTAGCGTCATGCGTGGAGAGCGAGGAGGACTTGTCACCCACCTTCAACAGTTCATCCCGCACCTCGTTGCGGGCCACTGCATCGCCCACATGTGAGGATTGTGTGCATGGCATCGGTTATTCTAATCATTAGCCACATTATTTACTCTGACTATTGCCCTGTTTTGCTTATGTGTTGTATGATTGTGCAAGGAAGGTGCTCGAACTTGGCGCGCTTGGAGATTCAACAGAGCTCGACGCAGTGCAGATACTATTGACGTGGCAGCTTCTTGGTGAGGATGTGAATTGCCATTTCACCAGTGGGACAGTATGTTAGGTCCACTTTCCCTTAGTCGATTTTGTCCTTGACAAAAAAGTATCGCAGGTTGATGTGCTTTGTGCGATTGACGAAGCCGGGCTTGTTGGCGATCTTGATTCCAATCTAGTTGTCGTAGTGTAACTTGAAGGTTGGAGAAGTGTTGCGTTTTGCCTCCTCCAGCAATTCTTGGAGGTAGAGTCCTTCGCGAACGGCGGAGGTTGTTGCGATGTATTCTACTTCTGCTGAGGAGAGGGCAACTAGCTCCTGTTTTTGTGAGTTCTCAGAGATAGGTCCAGTTGGATCAAGTCGAAAAAGGAACCTTGTATGAGAACGGCGGTTCGCGGGGTCTGCGGCGTGGTCTGCGTCGACGTAGCCAATGAATCGGAATGTTGGTGTCGTGATGGTGGAGTAGGTGAGGCCGATGTGACGAGTCGAAATTAAATAGAGGAGCGCTCGCTGTAGATCTAGGAGGTTCTCCCCCTCAAGTCGCCAAAAGTACTGGGTGAGCTGGCTGGCGATGTAGGATAAGTCGGGCTGGCACGTGACGGCGGCAAACAGCAGGCATCCGAGTTGCTGCTAGTAGAGTTGATGGGCGGTAGGTGCGAGCGTTTTGGTGTCGGGCTTGTAGACGGTGGCGGGTGTGCGGTAGGGTGTCGAGAGCGGTGCCAGCATTAGTTGAATTTCTTCGCGAGATTCTCGACATACTTCGATGCAGAGAGGTGGATGGCCTCTGGCGTGTAGGAGATATTGAGTCCGAGGACCCAGGTGGGAGCGCAATGCGGTGATTTCCGCATCCATAGCCTTTCGCCATTCGGCGCAATGAGGTCCGGTGAGAGCCTGTTGTGGTGTTTTAGACTCGATCACAGAGGGGCTCTTATAGACTGCGATATGAAGGCCGAGAATGTGAAGGCCAGAGAATCTGATGTTGCGGTG